ACTCCTAGAATATTCTTTTTTTCTTTTAAAATATTCTTGTACGAGCTGTGTACTTAATGTTCTTCCCACTTCCCATCACTCTACGAAAATAGCTATTGCAAAGGTCACTAAATCTAACAGATGCCTTTCAGGCCTCATCTTACTTTGGTGTCTCAGCAGCATTTAATACAGTATTAAATGTACTCCTTCCTGCTGTTAATACTGTTCCCTTGGCTTTCAGGATATCTCATTCTCCTGCTTTTCCTCCTTCATCTCTTCCCAGTCCTCAGCTTCCTTTATGAACTTCTGCTCTTCTCCCTCCTACTTCCTCTTATAATCTAACCAAAGGCAGACAGAATATTAGGAAACTATTATGGAAAGGTTACCAATTCTACTGCACATAATCCTGCAGACCTAAAACAAAGATACTTCTCTCTCCACCAGGAATCAAGATCGAATGAATAAGCATAGCCTTCTGCTGAAGTAACCCACTCTGGTAGGCTCAACAGCAAAAGATGCCCACGTCTCCATCCCCAGAACCTGAGGATGAATATCTTACTTTCCATGGCAAAAGAGACTTTGCAGTGGGGCGCCTGGGTGGCTCAGTGGGTTAAGCCTCTGCCTTCGGCTACAGTCATGATCTCAGGGTCCTGGGATCGAGCCCCGCATTGGGCTCTCTGCTCAGCGGTGAGCCTGCTTCCTCCTCTCTCTGCCTGCCTCTCTGCCTACTTGTGATCTCTCTTTCTGTCAAATAAATAAATAAAATCTTTAAAAAAAGAGACTTTGCAGAAGAAAAATAAGACTTTGAAGAGATGATTAAGTTAAAGATCTTGTGATAGGGAGGTTACCTCCGTGGCCTCAACATAAGCACAAGCAAGGGTCCTTAAGAGAGTCAGAGGACAAGTGAAGACAGAAGTAGATTGGAGCAGAGATCGCTGGCTTTGAGGTGGAAGGAGACTGTGAGCTAAGGAATGCAGGCAGCCTTTAGAAGCTGGGAAAGACAGGGAATATTCTCTCCCCTAGAGCTTCCAGAAGAAATATTCTCTCCCCCACAGCCTCCAACATGTGGATTTTGGTCCATAAGGCCTATTTTGGGCTTCAGACCACCAGAGCAGTAACATAAATAGGTCCATGTTGTTTTAAGCCAGTATTATCTAGGAAATTCTTACTGGTTGGTGGATGAGAGCTGGGTATGTGGATGCTGGGCTCTGATTGGGATCCTTCTTTATGGAAAATGCTCTCCTCATCAGGTGTGTCCCATTGAATGAAGCCAAGTACTAAGGTCCGAAAACATTATGGACAAGACTTCAATTGAGGAGTCCCAGGGAGTCACTATCCCGAGGTCTCTCTATTCTCTGCTGTGTTCCAAGACAGTCCTTTGAAAACAAAGAACAGAAAAATATAGATCACTCACACCATCCATGAGAATAAATTCTAGCTGCATTGCAAATGTAAGCAAACACACAGAAACTACCATACAAGTATTAGAAAACAGAGAAGCATGCTTATGACCTTGGCATGTGGAAGACCTTATTAAATAAAAAATAAAACACAAAAATCAAAAGCCAAAAAATTAATCTGATCAATTTGACCTCAAAACTTAAAACTTCTATTCAACAATATACCATAAAATTAAAAAGCAAGAGATAGACTGGGAGAAAATATGTGCAATATGTAAAACAAAAGACTAATATTTTCCTTTTTTAAAGATTTATTTATTTATTTATTTATTTGAGAGAGAGAGTGAGCAAGAGAGAGAAAGCACAGGAGCAGGGGCAGAAGAGGGAGAAGCAGACTCCCCTGCTAAACAGGGAGCCCGACGTGGCAGACGCTTAACTGACTGAGCCATCCAGGCATCCCCAAATGACTACTACTTTCCCTTAATTATCCTGGCTAAGAGACAACCAACACAGAAAAACAAGTAAAGGATATGAGCAAGCATATTACAGAAAAAACACAAATGGCCGGTAAACATACGAATGGATGCTCAACTTCTCTATTCATCCGAGTACTAAAAATGAAACAATGAGATTCTATCTCCTACCTACCATATTTGCAAAATTTAAAGTTTGATAACATTTAGTGTTGGGAAGAGTAAGGAGAAATGAGACCGTCCAACCTGCTGGGGAGAACACAAACTAGTACAGCCGTGCTGGAGGGGCACTGGGCAGCTCCTACTAGGATCGCAAATGCACATAGTTTACGACACCACTCCTAGGCATATGCCCTACAGAAGATGCTCAGGTGTTCTCAGAACTTAGTCTATAGTTTCCTGGGGGTTCCCAAGACCCTTTCAAGGGGCCTATGGAATTCAAAACTATCTTCATAATAGTATTAAGATGTTGTTTGCCAGGGTGCCTGGGTGGCTCAGTCGTTAAGTGTCTGCCTTCAGCTCAGGTCATGATCCCAGGGTCCTGGGATGGAGCCCTGCATTGGGCTCCCTGCTTAGCAGGAAGCCTGCTTCTTCCTCTCCCGCTCCCACTCCCCGTGCTTGTGTTCCCTCTCTCGCTGTGTCATTCTTTGTCAAATAAATAAATAAAATCTTTATATTAAAAAAAGATGTTGTTTGCCTTTTGGGGCTCCTGGGTGGCTCAGGGTGTTAAGCATCTTACTCTTTTATTCTGCTCAGGTCATGATCTCAGGGTTGTGAGATCAGCCTCTGTGCTCAGAAGGGAGTATGTTCAAGATCCCCTCTCCCCACCCCACCCCACCCCCACACTCGCACTCACTCTCCCTCTCTAAAAATAAATAAATAAATAATTTTTAAAACTGTTGCTTTTTTTTTTTTTTACTGTGTTAACATTTACATGGTTAATGCAAAAGGAAAAGTGGGAGGGAGAAAAAAAAGCAAGGGTGTGTAAAACTGCTCATACCTTAAAGCTCATCAAAAGGAGTGGCACCAAACTGTACTGTGTCACTGTATTTTTTTCATCATCATACACTCAAGAATGTCCTTGATAAAGCCGTAAAAGTTATTAAAATCTCCATGCCTAAATACATGGCTTTCTAATATTCTATGTAACACAACAGGAAGTACAGATAAAGCACTTCTGCTGCATACTAAAGTACAATGTTTGTCCCAAGGAAAAGCACTTGTCAGATTGAGTTGTGAGCTGAAGTCACTTTTTTCATGAAATTTTCTTGAAATAATGACTGACTGATAAACTATGGCTATTCAGACTTAGATATCTAGTAGGCATTTTCTCAGAAATAAACAAAGCGAGCCTGTCACTTCAAGAAAAACAACTGATAGTATCTGGTGCTAGTGGTAAAATGAGCTTGCAAGCAAAAATTAGAACTTTAGAAAACTTGCACCTCCATCACAGGCTTGGCAGTTGTCCAATACTTTTAAGACTTTTCTGATAAGAGCAGTGGTGATAGCAATTAATGTAATTTTTGACGCTGTATGATGAATTGTGTCAACATTTGACAGATCTGCATAACTCAGTGAACGAATACTTTCCAAATTGCCAATGCATTATGTTATAAAATCCTGCACAGGTAAAAAACATGTTAAAGTACAAGGCAGACCAATGGATTTTAAATGTAACAAAGTATGAAAAGTTTATTTATATGATTGATATGGTTTCTAATACCACTTGTTGAGGACCGATGAAAAAAATATCCACAATTACCTGAAAAGGCTATTAAACTGTTCCTTGTCTTTCTAATTACACATCTGTGTGATATATACTTCACTTAAAACATCATAATAGATCAAATGCAGAAGCAGGTATGAGAACCCAGAGGTCTCCTATTAAGCCTATTAAAGAGACTTACAGAAAATGTAATGCAATTTTACTGTTCTCACTAATATTTTCTGCTTTGGAGAAGTTATTTTTCATTTTAAAATATATTTATGTTACCATGTAATGGGTTTACTGCTGTTGTGTTTAATGAATAATTTTCTTCTTCTAATTTCTAATATATTAAATAGTGGTAGATATAAACCTACACGAACAAATTGTCTTAGGAGTGTAAAGGGGTCCTGAGATCCAAAAGTTTGAGAACCACTGCCCTAGAGAAACTCTAATAAGGAGTTGTGATCAGGAATGTTCACAGTAGTAATACTCATAAAAGCAAGAAACTGGAAAAATCTAGCAGTCTATCAATAAGGAATGGCTAAATAAGCCAGTTTATAGCCATACTATGGCATATTATGCCACTTAAAAATGAAGTAAACTTAGATGTAGTGAAATAAAAATGTTTCCCAAAATATTTAACTAAAAATTTGCAGGATATGTACAGTATGGTATAGGTTTTGTAGAAATGAAAACACAACACAATGTGTTTTCCTAACAAACAAACAACAAAGACCTGGAAAGCTACCAGGATACACAGCAAACTGTGAAGAGCAGCTCCCTTTCGGGAGGGAAAGGAAGACTAGCATTGTGGGTAATGACCAAAGTATACTTCAGCCCCATCCATGTGTTATGTTTTGAGAGGTTTGTTGTTGTTAACAAGGAGACTGTACTAATGCAATTAAAAATAAGGAAAAGGTGAATAAAGTAAAAGGGTCAAGCTCAGACATTGAGGAAGGAAGGGGACTTGCTTTGAGTCAAGGCTGAGAGGACCCAGTGTATTTGCTGCAGCGCTTCTGCAGCTGTGGAGTCCAGGAAGGAGCCACGAGGGGTGAAATCAGGCGACCGACGGTATGGTTGGCTGAAATGGTGATGGCCACCAGGATGGCACAACTTTCTGGGTCAGACACCTCCCACTTCCTCCCTGGGATTTAATACAAAGAAGGCCTTCACGGCCGCAGAGGTCAGTCTTTCCCGCTTCCGCCATCATGAATCTTGCCCCGATGCCTGCCAGTTCTTATCCTATTCCCGGGCCCCCATCCCCACTCCCCCGGCCCTAGGACCTCGGCGGCCACATCCGAGGAAGAGCTCTGGGCAGGCTACGCTGACTGCAGCCTGAATCGCCGCGGCACACCCGAAGACACTGAGACATCAAAAGCGTGACCGAAGGACAGGAGGCGGAGGGTAGCCAGTGGCTACGTTGCGGGAGGACGCAGTTACCAAACAAGCCACAGGATCTCCGAGACAACCGGCGGACTCTTCCAGGTGCTGTTGGGCAGGCCTCGCTTTCGAAAGCAGCGCTGCGGCGCTCCCATTGGTCTTCCATTCCAGCCCTAACAAGCCGCTCTCCCTATGGCCCGCCCCTCGACGAAGAGGCCAATCAGAGGAGTGTTTTGTGTTTCCCATTGCATAAGACCAATTAAAAGCTTGTTCACTTCTGACTGACGTGTAGGACAGCCAACCAGAGGAGCCGAGGCCTGGCAATTCGGCCTCCTTCTGCAGTCGTCATCTCGATCTAGGGCCCTGTCCTTGTGTTGTCCGTGGCTGGAATCTAAGGTTTGGATCTGAGAGAAATAACCAAAAAGGAGGCCCACGTTGGAGAAATGGTGACCCAAGAGGCAAAGTACTACTTCTCAGAGTCTGGTTGGCTCTGAGGTCCAATGATTTTGTAGTTGAGGTGTCAGTGCTTCTCTGGGGTGGCCTCGAGTAGCGCGCACCTGAGGAAAGTATCCGTGGAGAGAGCGCCTCAGACACTGTTGCTTTGCCGCCACGCTAACTGCTCCACTTACCCCCAGAGTCAGGTGGGAAGAATCCTAGGAACATCCGGGCCTTTAATTAAGTGATGGTTTATCTACCGTGAGGAGTGTTAGGGATGCTCAATTAGCAGCAATAAATACTGCTTCTAGAATGACTAAAATAAAAATTTGCGGGGCAATTTTTAAAAAGCCGATAGCGGTATCATTACAACTAAAGGTATTATTAAATGCTAATGCTAATTAAAACTAACAAATACCATTTCCACCAAATACTTTGAATAATTATCGGTTGTTTAAAATTGTGCCATTTTGGGCAAAGAAACTGTTGCAGCGCGGAATGGCAATTTTTCCACTTTTGGTAAGAAAACAAGACCTTTTCAGTTGCTGTAAGCAGGAGCCTAAACTGCACACTTTAAGAGGGTGACTTACTTAATAGTACCTATCAAAGTGTATTACACATCCTTTGATCCAGCAATTCCTTCTCTCAAAATCTATCCTACAGAAATACCTAAACACATGAGCAAGTTATATGTAGCATTACTTGTAACACTGAAAGATTGGAGACAGACTGGAATCACTACATCGTTTTACAGCCATACCATGAAATGTTACACCTCCATTTTTAAAAATGAGTTAAGTTTCCATATACTAATGTGAAAGGAAGTCCATAGTACATTGCAAAGTATAAAAATTAAGTTGCAAAATAGTGCACATAATACCCCATTTTGTTAAAAAAAAAACTACATACAAGTGTGTGGGTATTCATACATGAACACGTGTAAATGAGTATGTGCATATTCATATATACACATATATATATTCACATACACATATCTATGCATAGAAAAAGTTCTGGGAAGACACATACCAAATTAAGTTATTCTTGGAGAATGGGCACAGGGAGAGGGAATAAACACAAACATACACATTTACGTTTTGTTTGAATTTTGTCAACTAGCATTAACTACTTTTGAATTTTTATCACCACAATAAAACAGTTTAACAAAATAGGCATTTTTGTAATAGGGACAATCAGCGAAACTATCATTTCTCCATTTTTTTAAAGATTTTATTTATTTATTTGACAGATCACAAGTAGGCAAAGAGGCAGGCAGAGAGAGAGAGGAAGCAGGCTCCCTGCAGAGCAGGCAGCTCATTTTGGGGCTCGATCTCAGGACCCTGGGATCATGACCTGAGCCAAAGGCAGAGGCTTTAACCCACTGAGCCACCCAGGCGCCCCTCATTTCTACATTTTAAATAAGAATAATTCCAGATAGGAATGAGGTGACTATTTCATTCAAAAATTTCAGCTGGAAGACCTAGGGCAAAATTAGGATAACTGTAAATCAATTCAACACTGAGCTTCAGTGTGGTACTCATGACTTGATACAACAGGATGTGGGCAAACAAAATCTAATCAGGACAAGTGAAGAGTCATTCATTTCTGGGAGAGAATACTGCACTACGGCAAACTCTATCCAATGGGAAAAAACTTTGCTTTCACCTTTTTGGTAGCATCACCTCCAGGGTTTACTCAACTCCTTAGGGCAAGGGTCGGAAATCATTAGAATTAGAGATTTAAGATACCTCAGATATCATTCAGTCAAATCCCCTCGTTTTACAGTTGAGAAAACACGCCCAGATTGGTGAAGCAATCTACCTGTAGGTGCTATAACCAGCTAAATAGCACAGCCAGCTCTGGAATCCAGATTTCTTTTTTTTTTTTTTTAAGATTTTATTTATTTATTCGACAGACAGAGATCACAAGAAGGCAGAGGCAGACAGAGAGAAAGGAGAAAGCAGGCTCCCTGAGGAACAGAGAGCCTGATATGGGGCTCGATCCCAGGACCCTGGGATCATGACCTGAGTGGAAGGCAGAGGCTTTAACCCACTGAGCCACTCAGGCGCCCTGGAATCCAGATTTCTATTCCAGGCCTACTATTCCTTTCTAATTCTCAGATCTTCCTTAGTCTTCCTTCTGATGACATGTTAGGAAATATTTTAAAGTCTTATGAATATTAGACTTCCCTATATTCAAATTTTAGAATAAAATGCATAGCAAAAGAAAAATCTATTAGCACAGATGATCAAAAGTTGGCTGTATTTGGATATAAAACATTATTTGTAAAATACTATTTTCTTGAAAAGTAATATATAAATTTCTGTGCCTCTAACTATATTTTACAGTTCACTTAAGAACTATTGTTTTGGGGTGCCTGGGTGTCTCGGTTGGTTAATCATCTGCCTTTGGCTCAGGTCATGATCCCTCCGTCCAGGGATGGAGCCCAACATGGTGTGGGGGTTGCTGGCTCAGCAAGGAGTCCCCTTCTGCCTCCCCTCTGCCCCTCCCCCCAGCTCATGCTCTGTCTCTAGTGCTCTCTTTCAACTAAATTAAATATTTCTTTTAAAAAAAAACTATTGTTGGAGCACCTAGATGGCTCAGTGAGTTAAGCCTCTGCCTTCGGCTCAGGTTACAATCTCAGGGTCCCGGGATTGAGTCCCGCATTGGGCTCTCTGCTCAACAGGGAGCCTGCTTCCCCCTTTCTCTCTGCCTGCCTCTCTGCCTACTTATGATCTCTCTTTGTCAAACAAATAAATAAAATTAAAAAAAAAAAACTACTTGGCGCCTGGGTGGCTCAGTCGTTAAGCATCTGCTTTTGGCTCAGGTCATGATCCCAGATCCCAGATCCCAGATCCCAAGCCCATATCTGGCTCCCTGCTAGGCGGGAAGCCTGCTTCTCCCTCTCCCACTCCCCCTGCTTGTGTTCCCTTTCTCTGTCTCTCTGTCAAATAAATAAGTAAAATCTTTAAAACAAAACAAAAATCACTCCTGTTTTACCTAATTTCTCATTGATCTTCAACTTGGTTACCTTCAGCTTCTCTATATCATGTAGATGACGGTCTATATACATTTAAAACCACTGCAGGAAACACCTAAAGAAAACCTGCTGTAATTGAAAGAATCCTCTGTTCTGTGTAATGTTAATAATTACCCCAATTTGTTCTGTAAGGAATGCATTTTCTGTTCCTTAAGAGGATGGGTGTAAGGGTGGATAGATAGATAGGCAGAAGCGAGAGAGAAAATTAAAATAGGGAACAATTATTTTTTTTAGACAAGGAGAGCAAAACAAAAGATAAGAGGAATGAAAGGTGGTGGGTGGTCGGGAAGGGAGCGGCAGAGAACCACAAGCTAAATTAGTCACAAAGTGTTTATATTTTAAAAAGTAAACTTGAATACTGCGACTTTTAAATGGACTAACAACCACCTAACCTGCAGGCTATAATTAAAGTGGTGTCCAGTTTTAGACTCTATGACTTAGGAATATGTAAGGACCTTGGAGAGATTTCAGAATAATAAAGGTAAAAGGGTAAAAAAATGAGCCAATTGAGGAAAAATTAGAATTGTTATTGTGTCTAAGAAGAGAAGACCAGGGATGACTCAAAAGTCCTCAGGATATGAAGAAATACCCAATTCAGTGAACAGTTGGTCTGCATTTCCACAGCAGAAATTTTACTTAAATTATAACAGTACGTATTTGAAGACAGAAGTGTCTCACCTAGGATGTCTCACTGAACAAAAACTCCAGTGAAGCCTGAATGCTGTTCACCTCTCTCACCCTTTACTAGCTCAACTCCTCATCTCAAAGAATGGGTCAAAGGGTAGATCAGTCATCTCCAGAATGTGAAGATTTAGACTACTATGTTTAAAATTTTTTTGTTAGCCTCTGACCCCAGGACCCAGCGTAAGCTTGAGCTGCTTCTGTGCTATGGATAAAAGGGATTAATTAGTAATAAATACCTAGATGCATACATAACTTGAATTCCTTATAAAAGAATGCTTCTCCTCAGTGTTGATGGGTAAGAGGGCTTGGATTTGGGGTTCTTTCGGGACCCAGTTACTGTGCTAACATGACCCACTTGACTCCAAAGAGGGAATTTACCTGACCTGATGATATTAAAAAGAAAAAGAAAAACTGGACAACTCGATGTGCCTGGACCTCTAATTTTGCTCTAGCATTTTGTCTTAAACATCTCCTGCAATAATGAATAGGCAGAGTCTGTGAAGAAAGATAATGTAATCATGTTTTACTTGTACCACAATCACCCCACCCTACCCCAGTCCAGCTTTTAGCATAAGGCTGGGCACACGGAAGGCTAAGAATTGGTGCTTGTTAAATGAATACCACGTGTCCAAAATTTTGATATTTTATCCTATAGTTGCTTTTTCTAGTTATCCTCTAATTCATTCTTCAACGCCGCAACCTGTGAAGGTAGCACTTGTCTCATTACTCTTCCTCTTATCTCACAGAAACTTGTAATCTTCCCCGTCCCCTCAGATATCTTTAGTCATCTAATTCCTGAACTACCAAAACCTCTTAACTTCCTCAATTTAACCCCCACTCTTCTACTTACACCCAAGTACAGGGCTGTCACCTTAATTCATAATGTTTTGACCACATCATTTTCTATATCTTCTTTTCATGCTCAACTACATGATTAAAACCAGCTTTGACTTCCCAAATAACAAGACTCCTACGCTCCTCTTATTCCAAACCTTTACTAAAACCCACTTTGTGTAGGAAGCCATTTCAGAACACATCGGTCAGATGAAAATACCCACCGATCAAAAGTTCTTAGAGTTAAGAATAAAAAGTTCTCAGAGTTCATTCACCTCTCTGCCTGCATCACATCTATTTGAAAGAAAATACTCTCAGGGTGCCTGGGTGACTCAGGCGATTAAGCATCTGCCTTGGGCTCAGGTTGTGATCCCAGGGTTCCGGGATGGAGCCCCACATCACATCATCACATGGGCTCCCTGCTCAGCGGGGAGTCTGCTTCTCCCTCTCCCTCTGACCCTCCCCTCAACTCCTGTTCTCTCTCACTCACTCTG